GTGTTGAGCGTCGACGTATGGCCCGGCCCGAGTGCCTTCTCTCTTCCATCGAGCGCCCGCCGGTACATCTGCTCGGCCTTTTGTAGTTTTGAGTGATATGAGAATAGCAGTCCCATATCAAAATAGACATCGGCTTTGACATCGTTTACTAGCTCTTGAGCATCTTGAATCCCCTGGTATACCCAGTTTCCATGCGGGTAGATCCGTCTTTGTATCTTCCACGCATCTGGATGATCATCTTTAGGCACTACTGCTGCAACAATGCATGCTGCAACCCATTTTAGGCACTCTCTTTCTTCCCTTTCTGCCAAAGTAAAACACCACGTATGAAGTACTGGATGCATTGAGTGTCCATCAACTCCTTCGATCTTTCTTGCAAGACAATACTGTGTGAGAATACCCATCGCTGTATCATAGCGAAGGCGCTTTTTGGCAAGTGTTTGCAGCCAGATGGGAATATTGTTCTCCTTATGTATTTGTTGAACAGCCTCGATAAGCTCAAACCACAAGTTAGATGGGTCGAGCACGCTCCAAAGCTTAAGCAAGCCGGCTGCCTCATCGTTTTTATCCTTAACCTGATTATAGGACAGTTTCCAGGTTGTTAGAACAGTCCTGCTCTGGTACTCGGGTACGGAGAATTTTTCGTGGTTCTCCATGAGCTCTGTCCATGTATCTTCATAGTGCTTCAGATATTGAGTTGCTGTCATACCATTCAACCCAATATATGCTCCAGCTTGAGCAAGAGCTAAAGGAAGTCCGTCGAGTCGTTTTACGAGAGTATCTGAGTCTGGAAAGAGTAAGCAAGGGTGTAAGAATAAGCATTAAAAGGACGTAATACCTTGAATCGTCCGGCCAGCATTGTTCGTAAGAATTCCTTTTGAGTCGTCGCTATTTGTTTGGCCGACCTCTAACCCGTTTTTAAACCGTTGGCGTAAGATTTTCAATCGGCTCGTGATCAACACTGACCCCCCATCAATATCTGGGAAATATTCTTCGATATTAAATGCACCAGGGTCATGGGGCTTAGAGAGGTAGTCATAGTCCACATTATCCAAAACAAGTAACCATCTGGTATTTGTGGGGATTGACAACCATTGAAGGACTCCTCTCACTACGACCCCTTTCTCAGTTGTAGAGTCTCTAAGAGCGACTAAGGTATCGGCCTTCAATTCTTCCTGGGAAATCCGGAAAGCAGAATTTACGAGTGACTGCCTTAGCTGCTCCTCGGATGAGCCGTCGAGCCAGAAGATTGCTGAGTAATCATTCTGGTGCGTGCGCAAGTACTCAACCGCTAATTGTGTCTTGCCAATCCCACCCATGCCGTATAATACGAAGACCTTACGGCGCGACTGGGTTCCCTTCCCCGGTTCGAAGAAGTCTTCAATCCGCTTGATATCCGCTTGACGTCCGATGAATTGGTTGATGGCGGGAATCCCCTTTAGGGAGAAATGCACATGATGCCTTGGTAATTCTGTACAAGGATAATGGTTAATATCAGCTATCCCTATTACATGCTGGATGTAATCTAATATAAGATTGATAGACTACTCACTAACAACATCTGCGGCCTTACTTGTCTCCTTGACATGGACGGCAGGGATCATGAGGAGAAACTCTTTCATGTATGCAGCGGCAGTCGCGGCAGCGTATGGCTGCCATCGCTTGTTTTTATGGGAGTCCGCGTAGTCACAGATGCCGCGGATGACAAGACATTGAAAGGTGTCCATCAGGCCTGCTGCCTCCATTTCCACACACAAGATGCCGAGATCACGCCTTAGCTTCTCCCTAGTTGTCCCATCTTTGATAACCGCATTACCAGAGCCGATTGTGCCGTAGAATATCTCTGGTGTATTATCATCGCGGTGACAGCGGTTGACGAGCCTGCCTCGATCGCAGCCGCTGCACGTATTTCCGGTCTTGTGGTCGTAGTCAGAATCATAGAGAGTGTCTTCCCCCGCTCCTGGGAAGATGTACCCTCCACGTTTCATCTTGGGGTATTTATCCAGCATCTTGGCCAGATGTGCTGGGATCTCGCTTTCTTCCATGCGATGTTTGGCCTCTAGCTGCTGTACAGCCGCTAAAAGCACACTTGGTGGTTTCTTTAGCGACCCTGTCCTCTCAAACCGTCCTCCAGCTGTTCGCTTCCCCAGGTCATACTGGACAACGCCTCCAAATGTATCTGTTGGCTTGCTGACAACGATATCGCCAAGTCGGATGTCGTGGTTTTCGCTCGGGGCGCCTCCTCCGATCCCCACCAGTAGACCGAACCTGATGGAGCGGAAGTCGTTTAGGAGCTGGAGTGCAACTTGGGCAGCGCGATTCGTGCCAGTCTCAGGCATAACGGCGATGACAATGTTATGTTCGCCAATGTTGCCGAACGCGTAGCTCGCCGCATCGCGTTTTAGGGGAAGGTTCGGGTGTGTTTCATCAAGCATTCCTTTCACTGCTGCCAGTTCGACGCCCATGGGGCAGATGCATGCGACCGTATAGTCATCGTGTTCGAAAGGGTCAGGAGGCTGTTCCATCTAGTAGAACATTCGAGTGGAGCCGTTAAAGATTGTTGTTGATCAGAGCGTCAACTGAAGAAAAGGGACGCTGGCATCAAGCAATCAATACTCACAGGCAGTAGTTATCAGGTTCATAAGCTATTTGGGCACAGCCTTGCTCTAACACAGTCGCGTCAGCTCAGCTCTTGGCATGTAGACTTAAGTCCGTGCGTTACGATGACACTCGCTGCCTTATCTGATGGCGTCGCTCATTCGTTGGTGCCGGCTGACGGGCACTATCTTAGCTGCTGCCTAGCTCTTGCCTAGCGCCCACGCGCACCCGCAGCACAGGGCCTATGTATGCCGCGTTAGCCAGCCTCGCCGCGACTGCTGTGCCTCAAAGGAGATGCCAGATGCAACATGGCTGCAGCAAAAGCATCGTATTCTCTATCAGGAAAGTGGCATCGCATGACGCGTGTTTCACTGAGGCTTTAAGCGGTAGACTCAGTCAACCACACGTGCGGGGTCCTGCTAGTTACAAGCCACGGCTGAATTGGTTGACATCTCATAGTGCTTTCACTTACTGACACCGAATTAGGTTAGGGTTAGGGTTAGGGTTAGGGTTAGGGTTAGGGTTAGGGTTAGGGTTAGGGTTAGGGTTAGGGTTAGGGTTAGGGTTAGGGTTAGGGTTA